TTGTGGAGGGCCAAGTTTCTTGCGTAGTGATTATATTGATACGTTTGACTTTCCGTTTGACTTTGAATACTTCCTTATTTTCTTCTGATTTTGGTGTATGTACTAAGAAAAGCGACATTGGTTTATTTTCTTTTCTGTTTCTTAATAGTGTAATAAAATTAACCTTGAATCCTTTGTCGGGTAGCTCTTGAGTGATGGTTTGGCGGTCTGTGGTGATGGGTAAGCCTTTTATTATGACTTTTAAAACTTTATCTTCGGGCAATAAGTAGGTGTGGGTCTTAAGCTTTGTTTCTTCAACTATTTTGCGAATGAATTGAGGGGAGTCAGAGTCTGCAGGCTGTATTTCAAGGCGGCGTAGTTCTTTGTTCTTTGAAACCACTGTTGGATTGAAGTATGTCGCAAAAGTTTTTAATCTCTTCACATTGTTTAGCGAGCTTTTCGTTAGAAGATTGTAATTCATTTATTTTTGCACAGGCGATCTCGTTTTCCTGCATACGCAGTTGATTAATTGCTTTTACAAGGAGAAAGTTTAGTTCTTTTTTATCACTAGCGGACATAATCACATTTGGGTCGTTACGGATTACGTATATCTTGGATATCTTCCACCAAGGATCTGGTAGTTCCGACATCATTGGATAAAGTAATTTTGTGACTTAATATTTGGAGAACCTTGGGTTCATCATTAAGGTGTCTCATGGGAGGATTTTCAGAGTTTGAAGGTGAATTTTCCATGTTTGTGTTATTATTAGTTACATTTATGTTTGTTGTGTCATATTGATTAATCATGTGAGGCAAATAGGTTGGAAAAAAGGCCTAAATAGAGGCCATACCCGAGGGTACCCTTATCAGCACGGTGAATAAAGAAAATCACAAGAAAGAATAAAATACGACCTGTTTTATCCAGCGAAGGATGCAGCAGTAGAGTTAAGGCGACGCTTCTGCGAGGTGAAAGCAAAAGAAAAAAAAAAAAAAAAAAACCCAGAGCCCGTGAGGCGAGGTCGATGAACTCGGTACAGTAGCGGGGTAGCAGCAACGCAAGGAAACGGAGAGCGAAGCGATAAGACGTCTATCTCGAACGCTGTCTCACCTCGGAATAAAAAATATCCATTACGTACACTTCCAAAAACTATCCGTGACCTCCACCGTCTTTAGTTTAGCTCTAAAACGACAGTCAGAATCTTATACGGCAGCTACCCAGCACACGGAAAAATTTCCGACACATCGTTCTCTGTAACGATCGAGACGATCACACCAGACTCGTTATCTGTCGAGTTAATGTCGAGTAGATCGAAAAAACGAGCCATTCTTCCATGTCGACGGTGTGCAGACTCAGGGACAGCCGGAACTAAGGCTCCTCTAAACCAGGCTGAATCACCAACTTTTCTCTCTTGGCGAGGGAGGGAACGCGCTGCCAATTTTGGCGCGTTTATCGCACACGCTGGCTGAATGTCTGCTGTTTTTTTAAAGATTTATTTTATAGACGCGCGGCATTCAGCATATAAACTTTTCGGATAATTTATTAATTCTCGAATAGTATATAGACGTTTTAACTTAAATAAAAATTTCGCGTATATTTTGTAAACATATTCAAAATAACTTATTCTTTAGATGTTTCAGTTTCGTTAGCAGACTAAAATAAATAAGATATGAATAAAAACTTTCAATAGTGTCAAATGGGGAAATAATTAAAGCGTAGAGTGTGCAAATATAAATTTATCTTAATGACATTTTTAACAAAAATTTCCATAAAAAACACTGTAAATTCATACTAAAAAAATAACTTAAGAATATGTTGTCATTTTAGTCTGAGGTATATGGAAATAATTGTGCAAGATTCTGAAGAAACACTTTCTTTTAAATGTGTGAAATATTTCATAACATATATGGAAGAAGAAAGAAAGTACAGCATTCTGTGTTTTGGATGCTTTTTATCAAATGTAATATAAATACGAACTAGAAACCGTAATAAAAAGTCCCTTCCTCTTCGATCAGATCACCTTTGTGTTGCATTGTATTTGTAATACTTCTAAAAAATCCAATTTTTACCTAAATTAAAAAAACAGTTATTCCATAAAAGATAATAACTTTGAACGTATATAGAATGAATTTTGTAATTTGAGTTATGTTACAAAATAATTCATAGTTTATATATTTATACTAATAATTTAGATAAAACCTGTCCAATTTAAGAATGGTGTTAAACCACATTCTTAAATTGTAAAAGGACGACTTAACCACATGTAATTCATTTCAAAGCATAAAAGAAAGCTTATTTTTTTATTTTACACAGCAACAGCATTTTCATGCAGTCAAGTTTTTTTAACTGCTAGTTATTATACATAATACTTAATTTTAAACCCATTCTTATTAGAAAGCATAACTAAGAAACTTCTTTTTAAAGCACCACAGTGATTGCAAAGAATGTCGTTAAATTTACAAAAAGTATTGAAGATATATTGAACAGCATTATAACAAGAAAGTACTGTACAAAATATGTAAATGTAGTATTTTGCTACATGTAATTTGTGCTATATTATTACTCATGTAAATGTAGTAATATGTAAATTTAGTATTTTTTAGTATTTTGCATAGTTTCCTCCAAATGAACCTTAATGGGAAGTTATTCTTGTCACAAAAATTTAAAAAGTATTAAAATGGCCTCTAATTTAAGATGTAACTGCAATTTATAATTAATTTTGTAATTGCGAATAGATTATAATTATTGCAATTAGATTATGCACTTACAACATAATTGCATAAAGTAATGAATGAAATTAAGAGTTCACAGATACAATGTAATATAATTACAATGCAATTACCTAAATTGTAATTATAATCACTTATTTAATACCACAATATTATTACAATCACAATGTAATTTAAATTGGGTACTATATTTGCATACCCTCCACTCAAAAGGAGGTACTGATAAGCCTGGAAGTTATTATCAACAAAAAGCCTGTTCAGGACAGTTTGATGACAATTTCCACCGGGCGAAAAGTACATTCTTAAGCCCAGGCAAATCATGACAATAAAAATCATTTAGTCTTATGATTCACTATATTTTAAACCCTAAATTTGAATTCTGCACCAAATTATTTACCTATATTTTAACATACTTTATGAATTATTAGAAAGCGATATGGCAAATATCTTCTAAAAATAACTGTAAAATATTTGTATCCATTAATTGATTCAGATACACACTTTTATTATTTAAGTATATCAAAATAACAGTTTCATGTTCCTGAAATACAAAAATTATGGAAAAAGTTAAAGTAATATTCTTAGAAGCATATGATATTAGTCACCAGATGCAAAATTATAGCTAATTTTTTGCTCTAAATACAATTTTATTACACAGTAGTCAAATGTATAACTTAATAACATGTTATATAAAAAATTAATGATAATAAGTTTATCAGAAATGAATTAATTCTGCAAATAAACTTTCTGCACTTGAAAATTTTCTACACCTGAGGGGAGGGAGAGATCTAGTAAAATTAGATTTATTATAACTTCAGTTAGACCAAAACCATTCTCTTATATATATGCATCACTAAAGAAATAAATAAAATTATCATGCTTAAAAAAACAGATATACCATACCAGTTTTTTTCCCCCTTGTTACCCTTTACATTGAGAAATGCATACAACACTGAAAAATACTATCCTTGAAATTTTGTTTAAATGAAGAAACACACACCATCTTTTTATTTAAGCATTACACTTCAAAAACAGATACACATACCAATTTATTTTCACTAGCCTTTATACTGATAACATGCCATATAAAAATGAAAAAGAATTATCCTTGAAATTTAGATAAAATGAAAGTAACACAATGGGAAAATTTATGCACACGGACATCTTTTTTCTATTGCATGTTGTCTGACATGATCCACAAGTGCCTAAAAATGTACCCAAGGAAACACATTTCAATATTAACAAAAAATTGTTTACAGATTAAAATTCATTCATTTCATACCACTATTATAAAGATCATGCATGAAACAAATCTGCTTTCCCATACTTTTAAGTAAAACTTTTATACTGGAAAATAGACTATATTTCTATATATTAGAAACAAGAAAATACTAATTTGAATGTTCTGCTTTCATTTCTAAATCTTTACTCCATTGCCAAATTGTATAATACTGTGATTATAAATAAACTTGCACAATCCTTGCAATTATTGAAGTCAGATTATATATATATTTTGTCTCACACTATTCAATTTATTCTATTGACTTCAGATGTCAATGTCAAAATTCTGGAAGTTATTTTAACCAAGAAACAGTAGTGGGCACCGTGCATAAACAACTCATCTAACTTTTTAACAATAGTGATTATATAAATAAAGAAAAAAATTACATATCATTCCAACGATATTGCAACTATAGTATAATGTTACATATATCTTTAGCAAACATTCAGATTTTATCTTGACTTTCCAAATTATTAATTTTTTAATAAATTTCAATATGCTAATGATTTTCATGTTACATTACTATAAATTCCACAATTAGCACAGGAAAGCAAAATCCGCGCTTTATATTAGAAGAGAAATTTCTTTTTCACATTCAAAACATCTACATTAGCGATGTTTGGCGACGGGTACATTAACCCTAGACTAATTTAATTATAGCTATTATTACAGAAATTAGCAGATACTCAGGTTATTGTACACAAGAATTTCACTTTACTTGCACATTATAAACATCAGAGAAGATATAAACTCTAAATGAAGGCGTAATTAACATTATACTTACTAAGCAAAGTTCAGCACCTGGACCAGGTTTCCAATTGTCTCTTCGGCAATTATTTACCCATATTTTTCTTCTTTCTTCATTTTTAGGAAATTTTACCAATATATGACCTTTTCGTGAATGATTTGAACAATTAATAGCTGTACATCCGCCCATTTTACACAAAAAACACAAAAAATTGTTGCACCGTAACTACACGGCCGCCATTAAATCTCCCACTTGGGAGCGCGAATGCCTGATGATTCAGCCTGGTGTATAGGAGCCTTAGCCGGAACAAACCATGCGAAACGCATGTTACTCGCGGCATAAGTGGAACTAGAAACTAAGTTAAAAATGTCATGGTTAGGGTCCATATTCATAGTTATTATAAATGTACACGATCCTATACTCAAAATCCCTTTTCCCTTCTTCATTCCCCAGAGAATTTTCCTCCGGCCAGAGAACCGGCTATGACCAAACGTAGGGTTTGATATCTAGACATTTCTCTCCTGAATATTATCTGGCAACAATCTGCTAGTTTTAAAATTGCATTATTATGAGTCATTTTTTTTTTTTTTTTAAATACTGAGTCTACCAATTTTGTTTCAAACTAATATGGTGTTTTTTTTCGCTGCAGAGAAATATTTTGCGGATTGTGTATGGTTAAAATGTGGAATCTGTGTCGCAGTTATAAATAAGCAACTTCTGTGCTGATTAATTCCAGAAAAATCAAAACTTCATATAGTTGGTGAAATACCATATATGGCGTGATTGCATAAATTCATAAAGCTTTATCTTTATATGGCAAGAAATCTTATTTTTTCAGAACATAACAAACTTATTTAATCAAGTATTCCTGAATATCACACTAGATGTTTTTGTTGTATACTATGTATCAATATTTTTTATAAACACATTTAGACAAGATAATGAAAGCTGTGTGATGCATGCAACAACTCCTTTGAACTCTCCAACTTTGCAGGTTTGGCCCTGAAAACCTAACGTTTCCCAAGATAGCATGAATAAGTGATAGCTTCTTAATGGTAGTTCCAAAGTGAGACTGTTACTTTCTACTTTGACTCATTTTGTTCCTATAGACATCCCTGCAGAAATAGAATCAATTCAGAGTTGGCAGAAATTTTCGAATGGAACAAATTGGAAAGCCATTTATCTGTGTGAAATTTACATCCATAACTCTTCAAAGGTTAACATTTTTGTAAGCCAAACCATTTTACATTTGTGCCAAACACAAACAGCATTGTAAGGTAAGTAGTGAGTTATGTGATATCAAAGATGTCAGCTTAACTCCTCTTTATAGGAAAGAAATTTCATGTCGTGAACTTTGATGAAATGTTGTGTAGAAAAAAAATAATAAATAAAAAAGAACTAATACCTACACGTCAAACAGAAAAATTTGACATGTATGACGTAGACAGCAAATTATTGAGACAGAAAACTGAAATAAATGAACTTGTTCACACAGAAGAGAAATCTTGTGAATATGAAGTATGTAGCATGCCATTTAGGCTAAATCGTGATTTAAATGACAATGCATTTATTCATGCAGTAGATAAATCTTAATGTATGTGAAAGTTCTGTTAAAAATCGTCTGGGAAAAACGGTAATTAAAAACATGCTTACCCAAATTGCTGATAAATCTCATATGTGTAAAAAGTCATTTACTCCAATGTGTACTATAATGAGTGTATGAGTCATTTATTTGAAAGGAGGCATTAATCAAGCATATGCTTATTCACACAGGAGAGAAACCTCACATGTGTGAGGTATGTAGCAAGTCATTTGCATTAAAGCATCAATTAATGAGGCATATGTTAATTCACTCGAGAAAGGAATCTCGTGTGTAATGCATCATTTAGTCAAAAGGGTCCTTTAAACAAGCATATGCTTACTCACACAGGGAAGGAATCTCGTGTGCAAGCTGTGTAATGCATCATTTAGTCAAAACGATTCTTTAAACAAGCATATGCTTACTTACATAAGGGAGAAACCTCACATATGCGAAGTATGTAACGCAAAATTTAAATCGATGAATGGTTTAAAAAGACATATGCTTATTCATACAGGGGAGAAACCTCATATGTGTGAAGTATGTAGTGCAAAATTTAAGTCGTTGAAGAATTTAAAAAAACATATGCTTGTTCACACAGGAGAGAAACCTCATATGTGTGAGGTATGTAGCAAGTCATTTGCACGAAAGTCTCAATTAACGAGCCATATGTTTATTCACTCAGGAAAGAAATCCCATGTGTGCGAGGTATGTAACGCATCCTTTACTCAAAAGGGTCTTTTAAATAGCCATATGGCTACTCATACAGGAAAGAAGCCTCACATATGTCAAGTATGTAATGCAAAATATAAGTGGATGAGTGAATTAAAAGGACATATGCTTACTCACACAGGGGAGAAACCTCACACATGTGACATATGTAGTGCAAAATTTAAGTGGAGGAATCGTTTAAAAAAACATATGCTTACTCACTCAGGGGAGAAACCTCACATATGTGAAGTAAGTAGCACAAAATTTAAGTGGATGAATGGTTTAACAAAACATATGCTTACTCACACAGAGAAGAAACCTCACATATGTGTAGTATGTAGTGCAAAATTTAAGTGGATGAGCGATTTAAAAACACATATGCTTATTCACACAGGAGAAAAACCGCATACGTGTGAGGTATGTAGCAAGTCATTTGCACTAAAGTTTCAATTAAAGAGCCATATGTTTGTTCACTCAGGAGAGAAGTCTAATGTGTGCGAGGTGTGTAATGCATCATTTAGTCGAAAGGGTACTTTAAACAAGCATATGCTTACTCATACAGGGGAGAAACCTTATACATGTGGAATATGTAGTAAGTCGTTTAGACTAATGGATGTATTAAAGAAGCATATACTTATTCATACAGGAGAAAAACCTCACATGTGTGAAGTATGTACTAAGTCCTTTAGGCGTAAAGATCATTTGAAAAACCATCTGCGTATTCACACAGGAAAAAAACTTCATGCGTGAGATGTGTAACAGGTCATTTTCTGAAAAGTGTGAGTTGTATGGCCATATGCTAGCGGACATGGGAGAGAGACCTCGTGCATGTGAGGTAACAACTCTTTTACTTGAAAGATTAACTTAAATTACTCAGAGGCGTAGCTAGGGATTTCAGCGCTCGGGGATAACTGAAGATTTTGCGCCCCTTTCTGTGTACCAAGAACAGAAAACGTTTCATTCTGCAATTTCATCACATCAGTTTCTCGCCCCTTGGATGCTGCACCCGGGGACAGATATACCACTTGGCCTCACTCTAGCTACGCCACTAAAATTACTGTATGCTTATTCACACATGTAAGAAATCTGTTGTGAAGCAACTCATTTAGAGAGAATATTTCATTAAACAAGCATATGTTTTTTCACAGAGGAGGGAAACTACATGTGTAACTAATCACTTGGATGAAAAAAGTGTTTGAGGTAACATATCCACAGAGAATAGAAGGCTTTTGTCTTTTGTGGAAATGTTAAATGAAAAAGGACCTGCACTGCTGTGTATAGTAAGGGCTTGTTCAGGCAGCCAAGAAGTGTCTTTGTACAAGATGAGTTTAATCTGTTATTTTATCTGAATTCATAATAAATAATTTATTTATTCCAACAAAAAAAGTCTCATGTTTGTAATGTCCGTATCACATTATGTTTCGGCTAGGCGGGACTGAACGTCGAACGGGGCATTTCTTGGAACCCACATTCCCGGAAAAACCTACGTAACTAGGTTACTATTTGCACTTACTAAACAGACCCTGAATGCCAAACTAATCGATTATTGCTCAGATTGGCGAAAGAGACATTTGTTTTCAAATTCCATGCTGTATCGCTGTTATGGAAGCATTTCAGTAATTTCTTTTTGACATTTTAAATTTGTTTGTATTTCAGATATTAGGTGGTGGTGATCACTTTGATCTTGACACTGGTGATTCTGAAAGCTAAAGAGAAGAAACGTGAAGCAGTGTTTGCTCAAGAGAGTTAGCACTGAGGTAAGAATGTTTTATTTATATTTTTCAACACTTTTATAAACTTCTATTTCAATTTACCAGTTGTTAAACATTTTTAATAAATTTCAATATTATGAACTTTCTTTTATGTAATCTAATTCAAAAATGTTTGTACTAAGCAATCATGTTTCAAGATTATAATAAATTCTAATTATATATTGCTTATGTAATTAACATTTATTTTTAATAATAATAATAATTAAGCAGAATTAAATCCGAAATTTTAAGTTTGAGATTCTGTGCATATATTTTTTTTTGATGTGAACTTATTTAATTTCAAATACTTGTGTGTATAAATATGTCTATGCGTGTGTGGGTGTTAAGTTTCAACTGTAAGTATGTTATTATATCAATTTGTTTATAGTTGAAAATTAAGTTTATATATAGTTAATTATCCCAAGGCTATATAGTGACATAAAAATACTTAAATGTTACGTATGTTTAAATGAAATTTTAATGTTTTCAATCAATATTCTGATTGTTTATGATTTAAAAGTTTAAGCAAAGCATGCACTCCATCTACATGATGTTCATCTGCATTTAATACCAACAAAATGAAATTATTCCAGTAATCTATTATAAATAACTTTCTTGATATCTTATTTTGCTATCTAAAAAGTTGCATATATTTTTAGGTTTCAGAGGGATATCGATGATAGATTAGCATGGATATCTGTACATTTGAGATTTTACACAATAGCATATCTAGCCAAATTGCCAAAAAATAATAAAGTCAAAAGTCGTTAATCCGGACTCGTCGGGACTTTGGCGATTCCGGATTATAGATCATCAGTTTAAATCTCGTAAGATGGCATGCAGAAATTCTAAAATTAAAAATATGAAACCGTAATTTATGAAATAAAGAACAATTATGATCTAAAGGGTATCAAAATTTACAAAAAAAAAAAGCTTAATATTTATTTGTTTACTTTATTAAACATTTCTTTCAATATAAGTTGGTTAAGTTGCTTCGTTTTATGTGATAATACTTTCTCTTTAATTCTATAAACAGACATAATTTCTTGTTCAGTTACAAAGTTCTGCTGTTCAAGTCCTATAATTGCTGTGTCGAGAATACCAACTAATTTGTCAATCGAAATTTTTTCATTTTCAACAACCTCTGTGTCACTTTGATCACTATTGGAAGCAAATTATAATGACGAGGAACTTGATTTAAATCATATCAAAGATGGAGTACATCGAGATGAAATACTACATTTAGTGAGAAATTATAAGCCAAATAAAATAAAAACATCTGCGCTGAAGATAAAGATAGTGCTGACAGATCAACTTCCAATTCATTGCGCACCGCGTCGTTTTCCTTCCCCCGTAGAGCAGTGTGAAATTGATAAACATATTTCGGAATGATTAGATAATCAAAGGATATGGCTTTATCCGTTTTTTGCAGCAATTCCACTTTCTGTTTAATGGACTTCGAAACATACTTTCGCTTTGTAGATCCTTTACATATTACAGAGTTGCCAACTCTCCCGATTTAGGCGGGAGACTCCCGATTTTCGACCGATCTCCCGCCAACTTGATTTACAATACATTTCTCCCGACTTTTTCTTATTCTTAAAATTTCTCACGATTTTTATGGAACTTGGCTTAATACTTTGTTATATGAACAACCGTCCCCCCCCCCAAAAAAAAGTGATTTTGGATGTCTGAAAGCAATTGAATTTTCTGTAGATTATATCTAAAACAAAACCTTGCAAATCAAGATGAGAATTTCTGCTTTGTGAGTGAGAGCATTATACGTATCCAGATAAACGTCGTTCTCCAGTTCTCCAATGGGCATCGAGCTCCACTGCGTGTCAGCTGGCATATATTAGCCAATGAGGACAAAGCAAGCAAAAGGCTGTTATTTGGATGTTCTTTAGTTATTTCGTTCAATTTGTCCTGAGTTGTGTGAGTGCACGTGCCTTCGGGAAATAGTTTTAGAAATTATCATCTTTTGTTATGTCTGCGAGAATGAAATATTCGTGTACGTTTCAAAAATCGTACACAGTTGACTTTCCTTCCATTATTTCCTCAAGGAAATGTAATAAATTTGCGATGTGCACCGCCTGTCGTTGCGATTTTTCGAATTCGCAATATGGAAGGGCGGATGTTCTCAAACATGTGTGAACACAAAAACACAAGGATAACATGAGTTGTTTTTTAAAAAAACGAAAAATTAAATTTTTCTTCGGAAACAAAGGACCAAAAAGTTATTAATGAGGAGTGTCTGTTCTCTGCCTTTTTACTGGAGCACAACCTGCCACTGAATGCATCGGATCACGCTGCAGCTTTATTTAAAAAAATGTTTCCCGATAGTGAAATTGCTAAGAAATACTCAAGTGCAAGAACCAAAACAGGTGCAATTGTTAAAGAAATGAGTTTGAAAAATAAATCTTCAGTTATTGATTGCACAAAACAGCTCCGTTCTGCCTCTCTACGGATAGAAGCAATAATACCGATTCAAAACTGTATCCAATTGTTGTTTCTTTTTTTAATCCAGATTCTTAAGAAATTGAGTGCAGTTTACTTTCTGTCCCCATTTTAGAAGGACATTTGACAGGCTTTAATATACCACAGCTAATTATTAAACTTTAAAAGAAAATGCAGGCCCTCTGGATAATTGCTTAGCACTTGGTGCCAATAATACACCAGTATTGGTAGGCTTGAAGACTGGTGTTGCAGGCATCTTAAGAAGGGAAAATTCAGATTTGCAGATTATGAGGTGTACCTGTCACCTCTTAAATTTAGCAGCTGAAAAAGGGGCAGCTTCTTTACCAATAAATGTGGATGAACACATTGTTGATATTTATTATTATCTTGAAAGGAGTTCTAAAAGGAAGGAAAAATTGAAACAATTCCAACAGCTGCATAACAGCAGTTTACAATTAGAAAACTTGAATGAAGTTATAAAATCAGCTAGGATTGACACCCAGTGGAGTTTAATTGGAAAACTGAAAGGTGCTGATGGAATTTTAAAATATAGCCAACTGTCTAGAATTGTGTTGGCCATCTTGACAGTTCCCCATAGTAGTGCAGAGTGTGAAAGGATTTTCAATGTTGTTGCGTAAACGAGAACTAAATTTAGATCTAATATTAGTGATGACACATTAGGAAAACTTTTCTTAGCGAAAGCAGGCCTACGTGTCAATTGCAGTGAACAAAATTAGTTCTTTTAACAAAGAAAACTTCCTAATTTTCTAAACTGATTAAATTCCCTTTTTTTTTTTTTTTTTTTACTTTTCGTAAACGATGCAAGTAATAAAAATGTTTTTTTATGTGTAAGGTATTTTTGTGTTGCTTGCATTTAAGAATTAGTTACTATTAAAGTTAATTCATTATTAAAAACCATATTTTTATCATTTAAAAAGTCTTTTTAACATTGTGGAAAATCTCCTGATTTCTTAAAAAAATCTCCTGATTTTTGAGTGTCATAGGTTGGCAAGTATGATATTAGTAAATATATATCGGAAATTCTATTTGACATAATCGAAAGTTCAAGCTTACTTTTATAAAATTGCTCTAACAGTCTGCCAAAAATAATAAGCTGGATCCAATTCGAAGATTAAAGAACAACACAATCTGCAACATTAACTGAATTAGATAATTTTAGCTTAGCTTATACCATCTGTTATACATTAAACAAGCATGCGTAAACGTATTATGTGGATGCGCACACGCATATTCGCAGCCGTAAAGGTCAACGCGATGCATGCGCAGAAAGTTTGGAGCTTTAAGGTCCGGATTATGGGTGTCCGAATTAACGACTTTTGACTGTACCAGATTTAGTGAAGCAATTCCACCAGGAGAAAGATTAGCTGTCACTCTTAGCTTTTTGGCCACAGGTATAGGTAATTTATATATCTCCATGTCATTCAGTTACCTAGCTATTAATATATATATATTGTTATAAAGAATTATCAGATTTAATTATATTTAATTACAATACAATTTTTAAAAATATGATGTAATCATATCTAGCACTTTTGTGCATTAAGCTGCTGAAAAATATCAAGAAAAACACAAAGCAAGAAATTTAGAACCAATTTTTCACAAATCCCAAAAATTGAAATTCATGAGTAATAAATTTCAAATATTCCTATAAGTACAAAAAAAGAATTTAATAAATGTTAAAACCAAAACAGTCTTTGATGAGATTATTGCCTTTGAATTTATCTTTGACAAAATTGTGAATGATAATAAGATGAGATTCTGTGAGGTAGTTAATGAAGGTAATTAAGAATACTTTTCTTGAAATTTGGTTCTTTAAATAAATCTTGAAATTTTGACTGTACAATATTAGTATGAAGAAAAGTCGTACCTTTTTTCTATTCCCTCTAGTACCTCTGCGTTTTTTTACTAAAAAGACTGAATTGTTCATATACAGTAGCATAAAAGGCAGATTTACTGTATGATAATTTTCCATCAGTTTAATATGCAAAAATACTAGGCATTATGTTTTTCAAAAAATTGTTTGTAATTAAATATATAAATATATATTGGTGTAAAGAATTATCAGATTTAATTAAAGATAAATGTATAAATTCAAAATTCCTTATGATAGAAGCATAAGTTATATAACATTAAACTATTATTTATTGAAAATATATTCATAATAAGACATTTTGTAGATATATTTTATATTTATCACTGCTGATTATACTTTTTTCCTTTAGGAGAAGCACAAAGCTCTTTATTCTTTATCCCATAAATGTGGCTTCTTTTGAATTTCGTTGATAAAATTGGCTTCTATTTCCACCGTCCACGATCGTACTCTTCCCGCCATCGCCATATTGGAAGTTACCTGTGATCTTTCAGAAGCAGAACTCTGATTGGTTGACTCTACCCGGGACTTGAGACATTTTTGGTCAGGTTTGAAAAAATCCCTCGTAGCCACAACACTGCTTCCGTAGCTAGGTGGGACTTCGCTTCAGGCATGGCTCTTTTTTCTAGGAATCCGCCCGGTTAAATCATAGCCTCCAGAATCTCGTTTCTCAGAAAAGTCCCTTCTAGCCAAGTGTGATAAGGGTCTAAGATATTCATGAATCATTTTAAATTATTACTAGCTATTAAAGCCACATATCTTTATGCTTGGTAGTTAAATAGCTATGAAATGATTAAAGTAGCATATTTGTACTTGGAAAATTTAGGAATTATCTTACTGTGAATCAAGCAACTTTGTGGATCTCGAATTTCTCCCATGAGCAAAATTTCATTTGAATAGTTTGAAAATTCGAAACTTTTTCATTAAAAAATATTTGGTATTTAATTTCATTTATATTTTTGCTGAAATGCAATTGCAATTCTGTAGCACAGTTAAGTATTTCATGACCGTATGCATACTGTAACTTCTAAGTACATTATATTAAGCTCTGTCAGAAATCTCATATGCATAAAGTATGTAAGAAGGCATTTGCAAAATAGGATGTCTTAGGCTGCTATCACACGTCAGTTTGTTTCGGAAGAACAACTGTTTTGGAACAATTTTTCTGCTTTGTTTCGGCAGCCAATCACCAATGATCGCTTTGGGGTTAACACAAGGGAAACTGGTTCCCCATTACAAACAAGCTGATAGCATTCGAAGCTGAAAGCTGATTGGTTGAAAACGAACAACTTGCAATTTTTTTGGAAAGGAAGGAAAAAATCGCACGTCTATCTTTTCTATAGTAAACCAGGCAGAAAAATTGTTCGAAACAGTTGTTCGTGTGAAACAAACGCCGTGTGATATGGGCCTTAGGAAACATGTTCCCTTGAAAGTAAAAAACACTTATATTATAAATGTTTGTTTAAATAACTTCCTGTCCATTCTTTAACCAGTTGCAGAAAAAAAGCATGTTTTTTTTTTTTTTTTTTGTAATTTTCGAAGTTATGCACTTCCTTTTTAATGAAGTGCAAATGTCGAGATGGGGGATTTATAGTATTACTCTATCTGTGGTTCTAAGCATATATATAATAATACTGATATCCTAATATATAGTATCAGTATCTCTATGGTACTCAAGTATTACTTTATCTATTGTTTCAACCATTTGTCAATGCTGTTTTGTTTTAAAAACATCTGTAATTTCTTTAAAACGTCATAGTTTTAAAATTACCATAGATAATCTTGGGTTATTACAGGTTAGGATAACAAACTGTTTCAACCACTTGTCAAGGATGTTTTAAGATGAATATCCGTAATTTCTGTGTAAGTTGAGTTTCAAAATATGCTTTGTTAAAAAAAGTTATGATAGTGTATAATTTAGTTTTAAGATTTTAGCAACTGCATATTTTTGTTGGTTAGTTATTTTGCCTGTGCCTGAAGAAGAACAGTTTAGCTTACTTGGGTAAATAAACGAAAAGCCAGGGACTTAATCCGCTGTGATGTTCCTGAGGTTCGCTGTAGCTGCTCCTAACAGTAGTTTCGAATTTCCTTTCGAGATATTTTCAGTTTTTTGTTGAGAAAATAAAAGTTCTTATATTTAGAATCTAAACGTATTTGCCTCAAATATTGTTTGCTATATAGAATAAGTCTTAACCCTCTACGCAGCCAGGGTTTTCGCTAAGAAAGCACACATTTCCCAAAACTACTATGAGAAAAATTTTCTGTTTTTAATGTAAAAACTCTTCTGGTATTCCATACCTGAATTTGTGTACTCTTGCTAAATTGCCTTAATTTTTTTGACATATTCATTACATATTTTGACATCATATTCTAATATGCCCTTATATATATGTTCTTACAGATATCACAAAAAATATTCTTGGACGTATATATACGGTTTAGCCGCATATAGGTTTAATTATGAAAATTTTGCCCTGTAATGTATTGTTTCACCAGAAATCATTCAAACTTTGTTACGGAATTGTCCACTCAAGATTCAGTAATTTATAAATTTACTCATTTTAGCATGATCAGGCTGAGCGCCCATATTTTACAAGAACTGGAAGTATTTAAATGTTGAGACAGAAGAAATTCAAATTAAGGGCATTTTATCTTACATATCGGACAGCCGATATGTAAAGTCGTACCAACTTGTCCCATATGTTGGAATCTAATGAATCTTGAATCTTCAGTTTCGATTTTAGTGCCAACTACTGAGAGTGTATACTAATAACTCAGGTGGGCCATTGGCCTTTCATAATTTTTCAATAAATCAAGGCTGCATGAGCACCGCGTCCGAAGGCGAACGAAGGTCTGAGTGGCAAGTCATTAGGGGAGGCGAATAAGTTGAACAAAGTGAAAAAATCAACTTTTATCTATAGTAAAAGTTATTTAAATCAATGTAGAATTTTTTGAGTAGGTGGAGTAATGCATGCGTTGACTGTGGTTCCTAACTGAGCAGCAGATACGAGAGGAGAAAATTTAAAATCACGTGACTGAGTGTCGCTATGTTATTGGTTTGAATTTGCATAAGCTCACATTTTTTTAAGATAAAAACTTAATATTACTAATTAAGGGTACATTTCATCAGTAGGAAGTGCATTTTAGTCCAGAAAATTTATTTATGTAGAAAATTTGCATTGGAGTGTTTATTTCTTTTGAGATTTGCAGAAGTGGGCGGGAGATTACGTGGTCCAATCGGAGACTTGGAAATGAAATTTTTTTCAGAGTAAGTCGAAGCGATTCACTAATATGAATATTTTATCAAAATTTTCGTAAAAACATGCACAAAGTCCATTTGGTTATGCCAAGTATTCAAAGTCCTTTCTTTATCAAACATAGTCCAATCTTTGTAGAGCACAGTTTTTACGTACACAAGTATTAATTAAAAATAAGATGAAAAGAGAAAAATATATACACTATATACGCATAGAGTCCAACTACTACGGATTCTCCGTAGTTTCTATGGAAATTCATGAAAAACTACGAGCTACGAAAAGTATGGAAAAAACTACGGATTTTACAGAAACAAGAGCAGGAGAACCAGTACGCAAAACGGAACCAACTAATTCATCCGATGATTGGCTGAATACTCGTGTTATCATATATCACTGTTGAGTGCGTTCCTAGTTTTGAAGAATTAGCCAATCGTAGATCAGTAACTCCAACCGTTAACGACTTATCAATAGTTCCACCCAATTGTCTGTCTCCCAGGTTCCTCGCTGATGCGTGTTTAGGCTGCATTCGGCTGCATTGTGTGTTTAGTTGACAGCGAGAGCTTAGCGTGTGTGTCTTGTGAACTGTGAATCAGGTGAAAGATTTTTTATCATAATGCTGCCTCGAACGAAGAAGCCAAAATTATCAAAGCAGAAAGTTTAAAGATTCATATTCTTCAGAATTTCCATGCATTAAAAGCATTCCGAAATTTATGTGAAATCACGCACACTGCAGCGTATGCAACAAAGACTTCTCATTTGCACATGGCAGAAAAGATGACTGTGAATGGCATGTTGTTTTCTCAAAAGCATATAGAACTTGGCACTGTAAAATCTAATGAAATAACAAATTTCTTATTAAAAGACTACGATACATGATCCTATAAAAGCCGAATACCATTTTGTTCGATTTTTAAGTTGAACATAATCTACCGCTTTCTGTTTCGGATTCATTCCAAAGAGCTTTTCAAAGCAATGTTTCTGGATTCTACCATAGCAAAAAAATTTAGCTGTGGTCATACCAAAACTGCTGCTATTGTGAAAAACGCTTGCAGAAAATACTGTTGCTGATATTATAAAATCAGTGTGCAATACATCATTTCTCTAAGTACTGATGGAAAGTAATGATAACAATGATAACAAACTGTACCCATTGGTTATAACATACTACAGGTAAAGAAAAGGGAGAGTGATAATTACTTCATTGATTTCTATTTAGAATGCACGAATAATACAGGAGAAGGTATTTTTAATTGTATAAATGAAAACTTTAAAAACAAAGGTTTAGAATGGAAAAAATTGCTTATCATTTTCTTCAGATGATGCTAGTAATATAATTGATTGGAAAGTTTAAAGGTGTAGCATCATTTATCAAAATGCATCAACCCAAGTATAATCACCCGAGGTTGTCCATGCCACCTCTTGCATATAGCTGCAAAAAAAGCTACTGAAAAATTAATTGGCACAGAAATTGAAATGTTGTATAATGATATATATTTTTACTTGGAGAAAAAGTTCGAAACGGAAGCATAGCTTCAAAGTTGCTCAACAAATTTTGGGACAGAATGCAAAATCTCATAAAATTTTGAAATATTGCAGTACGAGATGGTTGTCTCTTTTAGAATCTATAACAAGGATTTTGGAACAGTGGGATGCTGTGATAAATTTTTTTGGAGATAAACCAGATAACAGTGAGAATGAAGGAAAGAGATTGCAAAACATTAAAAAAAATTTTACAGTCACCGACCACCAAAATTGTATTTGTTATTTTTGAAAAATACTTTGCCTTTGTTTATAACAGTAAATATTAATTTGCAACAACAAGCTCCTTATATACATAAATTGAGAAGAGAACTTTTTGAACTTTTAATGAATTTGTTTGTTAGATTCGTAAAACCATCAGTAAATTTCTAAAGAAAATGAAGATTTTACTCTAACATCTCTTCCATTTCAGAAGTATAGTAAACAAAAAGAAAATGAAAATTTAGTGATTGGTGCGGAAACAAGACTATATTTTAAAAATGCCAAGTTGAATGAAAGTGAAGTGAAATCATTTTTCAATTCTGTGCGAGCTTTTTTTGTAACTGCATGTTCATATATAATTGATAAATTTCCACTGAGTGATCCATTTCTAAAACATGCTGAAGTTGCTGACATCAACTTGAGAACTGAAGTCTCATTTTCATCTGTTCTTTACTTGATGAATACTTTTCCATCCATTATTGATGAAAAATGTCTTAATCAAGTAGAAATTGAATTTTTCCATGTATCAAGTAGATGATTTGAAAGAAATTGTAGATTTGCGTATTGATATAGCATGGGGAGAAATTGGCCAAATTAAAAAATATGAATGGGTGTATTAAATATAAAGTATTGCCTTCTGTAATGCTTGTGTCTTAATAATACCTCATTCAAATGCAGCTTGCGAAAGAATTTTTCTATTGTATTGTTAAAAAAAAAAAAATCAGACGGGAATTTCGACCAAATTTAGGTCTTAAAAACTCTTGAAGCAGTTTTGATTGAAAAAATAAATATGCAGGCAAATGAAGAACTGTGTTATAAAAAAAACATTCTCAAAATCAGAACTTAAGCTTGCTAAGCATGCTACATATAAATCTTTGCATTCATAAATTATGCGTATTTTGTTTAATACTTATATGTATCATTCTTGGTTATTTAAATTTTATTTCCCTGTAAAAATCATATCCAGAATAAAGATATGATTTATAGCTTCTGATTTTTTTCTATTGATTAGTAGTGATTTGAAGTACTTTTTTATTAGTGAATGCTTGAGGAGGTTAAAAGAAAATTTCTAATTAAATGTGCATATAATTTACAAGGTTATATTTTTAATTTTTCAGTTTTATATGTATATGGATTTTAAATGTAATAAAATTGATTACAATTAATTATTAATTTAAAATTAATGAATGGTTAATTACAACATACGCTACGCGCACATTTTCAAAGTTGTAAAAATGTCGTTCGCGCGTTGACTACTGACAAGGTTTGCTGAAGGTTGGAGTCTATGTATACACATTCACCACTTAGAGTTTTGATGAATGGAACGTGGTCGCTTGACAATACTTTCTAAAGTTGGGTCATAATTTGTGAGATTTTTGATTGCTTCATATGGAGAGTTATTTATGCTGTTGAAAAAGTTATGTGCAGTAATAAGGATTTGATCCTGGATCTCCGGGATTTTTAAGTCTTCATAAATAATTGTGCTCCTCACGAACCATGGTGCATTAGTATTAGCGTGCAGTTCTTTATTTTGAAAGATGCTGATTTTTCTTCTATTTGTTTTACTTGCAGTGACCCATGCCGGGACGGCGTACAGTAAGAGGGGACATATTAAGGTCAAGTAAAGTTTCGTTCTTCAGTTCAGTTTTGATTTTCGTCCGATTAACGCGTAAATCCCCATAAATGCAGCATTAGCTTTATTGGTAATGTAATTTATATGTTCTTGAAAGGTGAGTTGGCTGTCAATGAGAACTCCAAGATATTTGTAAGAGTTTGCAGTAGTGATAGCAGTATTATTAATTTGAATGTCGATATCCACAGGGAAGTATTTTTTGTAGCGCCTGTAAAGTACTATGCAGCACTTGGCGGGATTGAGTGTACACCAGATTTTACACCAATATTCTGCTATTCTAACATGATGCCGTAGCTTATCAATTGCATGCTGTGGTTAAGAGATTTAGTTAAAATTACTGTGTCATCCGCATATTTGAGGATTTTTGAATTTTCTGGGTTTGGCATGTCATAAACATAAATATTGAAATTTCTTGGCGAGAGAACTGATCCTTGTGGTAGCCCACTTTGTATATTTTCGTCATTGAAAGAGCATCGCCGCATTTTACTTG